CTGGGCCCCCCCGCAGCCCAGTGCTCCAGGGTTAATGGAGACGGTCCCAGGGCAGCAGGCGCTGCCTGGCCCAGGGGAGGAGCGCCCAGAGCGCCAGGACAGCACCAGAGTCTTCGGAGAATTTATTTTCTCACCGCTCAGTAACAAAAACAAACAAACAAACCACCTTCCACCCTTCCCACCCCCTGAAACTTGCCCTATAAGTCCTGTCCCCCACCCCTTTCCCTGGCCCCGCTGCCTCAAACATCGTAGTTGGGGTTCTTGCGTAGGATGACGAAACCCTCCAGGATGGGGGTCACGGGCACATGCTCCTCCGTGGCCAGCTCTGCCCGCTCGCCATGGGCCAGCAGCACTGGCGTTGTGTGAGTCTGGAAGCCAGTAATGGTTTTTGGCTTTCCTGCCTGGCCCACCACATCCACAGCCTGCAAGAGAGGAGGGAGATGAAGGCCACGACCCCACAGGGACCCCACGCACCCTGTCCTCGCCCCTGGCTGCCCCCTTACCTGTCCTACCCGCACCGATACGGGGAGCGGTCGCAGCTCCTCGTCAAAGGTGACCAGCATGCGGGGCTGCATAGCAGCAACGAGCCCGTAGAGAACGTAGTGGGACTTGCCCAGGATAACTGGAAGGGAGACACGAGGGTCCTCGGTCAGGGCAGATCAGGGCCCCACAGGGGAGGGCAGAGGGGTGGCAGGGAGGGGACGTCCCCACACTACTCACTGTTGCGCACGTCCAGGAAGGACACAAGGACAGTGAGCAGCCCGGCCACAGCCACCTGGCTCATGAGCTGGCGATCACTGTGGTAGGGGCACAGGGTAAGAGTCCCCTTACCCAAGTGGGTCAGGCCCTATGGAGGCAGAAACAGCACATGAGAACTAGGGGACCGGGCACCTCTCAGACCTACCCAATAAGGGGCCAAGAGCACAGAGCCAGCGCTCCCCCCACACACCCAGGACAGGCAACCCATCCTCCCCTTTCCCTCCATGAGCAGCGAGCGCAGGATTGTCACCTGGGCCAGCCGCACCATGAAGAGGTTGTTGGGGTCTTTGGCATGGTACTGGGCCAGCTGTCGCAGCATCGCTGCCAGCCGGGCGTTGTTGGTACCTGGGGAAGAGAAGGTGGAGGCAGAGATGAGGGTACACTACCAACACAGCCCCGGTTTTCCACTTTCCCTCATGAGGGTGCAGGGCATCCAGCCAGAAACCCTGGAACGGGCAAATATGCAGCTTCCAGGGAGTGCAGTTCCCCTCACCCCCAAGGCCGTGTCCACCACTCTGATCAGTGAAGTGCCCGGGGCAGTGTCCCCAGCCGTGCTGATAGCCCAGGACAAGGGCCACAGGAGGTGAGTGCACAGACATCCCGAGCAGCAGCTGTACGCAGACCCCCCTCCCAGACTTACCACTGCCCACCATGCCCATGGCAAAGATGGAGTTGTAGGAGACCTCGGGGTCAGCATCGTGGGAGAACTTGCTGAGGGTGTCGAGGATGTTGAGCCGGGGGTTGGAGACGGAGATGAGCGCCAGGGCCAGAGGCACAGCTCGGCGGAGGGTCGGCTCCCCGTACCGCAGCTGCACGGTGAGGAGGGTGTTAGACCCCAGGCAGGGGCAGGGCACCTATTTGGGGTGCCCATAGCCTGCCTTACTGAGGGCAGCAAGGTCCACAGAGGTGGACATAGATGAAGAGACCTTGTCTGTCCCTCCCCAAGCCCCTTCCTGCTCTGTGCTGTCTCCTCAGCATTACTTACCAGGTGGCCGAACGTACGCAGGGCCATCTCTGCACCAATCTCCTCACCCATGGCAATGAGTGCGATCCCCAGCACTGCTACACCCTGCAAGGGACACAGACACTGAGTCGAAAGCAGAGAGAGAGCACTCAAATCAGGTCCTTACAGTCCTTGTGCCCACCCAAAACCTACCGATTTGGAGTAGAGAAAGTAGGAGATGCTACTAGGGGCTGTTTTCCTGCAGCCTCAATCTCACAGGAGGCTGGCAAACAACCCCCTAAAGTCAGCAACTGCCCCTAGGGACAGGACTCCCAGCCTAGGTTTCCCCACCTGGTGGGCTCCCATGTCAGCTGAGCTTTCCTTCTTCTCTTTCTCTTTCTTGTCTTTCTTATCCTTGTCCTCCTCTTTCTCCTTAGAGTCAAAGTGCTCACTGCAGATGTGCAAGAGCTGCTGCACCTTCAGGACATTCCCTGAGCCTGGAAGGAGAGCAATTGAGCAGGATCAGCAGAGGGAGGACCCAGGACCTGTTCCTGCCTTCCCCTGCAACCTCAGCCAGCCCAACTCACCTGCATAGGCACAGATATCCACCAGCGTGTTGGCAAAGCTGCGGAATGGCTCTGACACCACCTCCAGCGCTGCCAAGATGGCCTCAATTGCCTCTCCCTTCCCTGCCAAGATAGGAAGATGTCGTGGTCAGAACACAAGTGACCAAGGATGCTCTCATTCCCAGTCGCCACCTGCAAGTCCCCAGTGCCACAAAGCACTGCCCACTGCGCAGCCTTACCCAAGTGGTTCAGACCCAGGCCAAGGGGCAACCACCGAGCATACGTATCCTTCAGCTCTGCTTCTGATTTCTCCATGATGGTCTGGAGGATGGTTGAGGTGACATCACCATTGCAGGAACCCACAGATATCATCCCACAGGCCAGGGCAGTCACACCAGCCACCTGGTGAAGTAGGGAAGGAAAACGTTGCAGGCCAGCTCAGCGTGAGCTGGAGCACAGCTCCACGCGCAGGCCCACATAGTTCAAGAGGACAAAGTGCCCAGGCCCTGCTTTGTGCAGAAATTTGGGATAGTGGGAGGCTGATCATTTCCCACTCTCCTGCATCAGCACCAGCCCCAATCTGCGAGCAGCTCAAGGGAGGAAAAAACAGGGTGGTAATCTTCCAGCACCCAGAGGCCAAACTGACAGCAGGACAGACCATCAGGAGTTGCCTAGGACCAAGTGGGGAAACAGGGTCCACACTCCAGTCCCTCTTCGCTCCCTACCTCCATACTGGACTTGGAGTCTCCCATCACAGGTAGCAGCAAAGTCAGGACGTCCTCACGGTTGGAGCCCGCGTAGGCTAGTCCCAGCCTGCAGAGCCAGAGGAGCGTTAGGAGGACGCTGTGCTGCCCTGGGCAGTCAGCAGAGGCTGGGGCCAAGCTCTTACCCAAAAATGGCTCCAATCCTCATGGTGTTGCTGTTGTGGAGGACGTAGTCTGACAGGAGGGCCAGGGCAGGGTCGCACTCGTTCCTCACACCTGAGTTGACGATGCCACAAGCCAGAAGGGCTCCCGACTACAAAGCAGAAGCACTGTCACACACCAACTATCAACACATATATCTTTCTACACCTAATGTCACTCCATAATTTATACCTATTCCCCAGAACAGACAAGCTAGCATCATTCACTTGCAAGTCCAAAAGAGCAATGGGACCCTCAATCCAGCTCATTAGACCAAAGCTGGTAGCTCTGCAACAAGGGCTGCAGTGCCAGGGGAAGAGAGCCCACGTCAGCCCCCATATCAACGTGCCCTGCCGAGGGGAGGTGGTGCCCAGGGACACAGAGATGCCACAGCTGTGCCCAGCAGGCCCCACTCTCAGGAGGGCTGAAGAGGACAGAGTAGCAGGAAAACCCAGGGGCACCTCCAACGCCTGCCCCAGCGACTCCCTCACCGTGGTCCTTGTTCTTGTATAACCATTTATTGCCATCGTCTGTCAGCAGCTTGTCCTGGCCAAAGGCAGCATTCACAAAGCCGTTTACAAAGGAGGAGGCCAGATTCATCCGCGCCGAGTCCACTTGGGAACCGCTGCCTCCAAACCCTGGGGAACGATGTCAGAGTGAGCCAGGCAGCAAAACAGCCCGGCCTGCAGCCCAGCCCTCCACCATACAACTGCCCCATGGCTTGGGAAGCACAAGGGTCTGTCTGCTACCAGCAGCAAGGAGGAGCCCAAATCCACCGTATGCAGCTGAGGATACTCCAGGTGGGCAGTCCACAGACAGGAGGAAAGCTGTCTGCCCGCCCCAGTTACAGAGGCTCCCTGCAATGCCAGGAGACACCTCCGAACCCCAGGAACTCCCCGCGGTCAGGGACAACAGAGGCCACGACACAAGCCCTTACGGTTATTTTCCAGGTGGGTTTTGTAAATATCATCTGGCACTTTGGGCTCCATGATGTCCAGCTGCAGAGACAAGGGGAGAAGAGAGTTACCTCCTCACAGATGCACCACGTAGCACTGCCCCACAAGAGCACCCTCTTCTCCACACAGCACCTAGCCAAGCTGGGGATGAAGTATTCCTTTTCCAGCAATTCTGCAGGCACAGGGCCAGGCAAGGCCATAGTCCAGGACAGCTCATGGACTTTTTTCCCAGACAGGTTACTCACCTCTCTGGCCAAAGCCAGGAAGTTGCTGTTGAGTTGAACATTGGACATGATCTCAGTCAGGTCCTCATACTCTTCCACATCCTCATTCAGCTCCAGGAAGACCCCGTGGCGGCCCAGCATAAAAGCCATCTGCTTCTGGACAACTCTGGAAAGAGGGAAAAGTTTTACAAGTGCCCAGACCTGAGCAAGTCCCAGGACAGAGGCATGCTAAAAAATCAGCACAGACAAGCATCAACCTGCTCTGCCATTCAAACACACAAGAACCAGCCCATTTTCCTGCCCCTCTCAACTGTAGGGGTAAGAATCTCTGCCCAAGCCCCCAGACACTTCTCGTGGTGACAGGATCTCATCTGGCTGGACAGGGGGGCCCTGGACAGAGACAGGGCCTTTGCCATCATCAACTGCTTTTATTTACTGAGGTCTAAATCTACTTTTCTGTCTCCACTGTGCTATGTAGGGAGCATAGGGTGACTGTGCTCCTAATACAAGTGGGATGAATTTGTGTCTCAGACACTACAGACAGGGAAGGATCTCAAGTTAGACTCGGATGACCTCTGTGAAGGCCCTGTGCACAGGGCAGTGAGTTTCCACTCACACATCTTTGCAGGAAGTGAAGATGTCCTCCACGAGCTCCACATCGTTGAGTATCAGGGCCAGGCGCAGGGCTTCAGGGTAACGGTTAAACTTGCGGAAGATGCCCAGGGCGCAGCGCAGCAGAGCCGAGTTCTCCGGCTCTGGGACGTAGCTTACACAGCTTTGAGGAGGAGATGAACATGAGAGTGAGCAAATGTATGAAACGGTGAGGCAGGGCCAGCCCGGCCTGCCAAGGACAACGCACAGGCCTGCCAGCCCCTCACCTCGTCAGGTAGAGGCACACTTTGGAGTAGGCGTTGTCGTCGATGTACTTCTCCAGCATGTCCATCTGCTCAATCTCCATGAGCAGGTCACAGGCCTCGTGCTCCGCATTATGAGCCATGTTGTAGGGGACAATCTCCTTGACCAGGGTAAGCAATGTTTCCCTCTGGGCCTTGTCAGCTTCATCGATTTCCTGCCACTCCTTGGCCACCTCTCCTGCCAGGTGCCTGCAGGGACAGAGGGATGTCAACAGCTTCGTCCAGCCCCAAGCACACAGAGCAGCTGCTGCCAGATAGCTGGGCCTGTGTGTTGTTTGTGGGGGACATAAGCAGTCCTGCTCTCCTGTGAGAGCTTGTAGTAAACCCAGGGGAGCCAGAGAGTTAACAGCAGAGATTGCAGAGGCCAGACATCTCAGTTCTCTTTGGCAGCAAGATATCTGCAGCTGGCAGAGGGTGAGGAAACACTCATACAGACGTGACAGGGACATCTGAACCAATGCCCTCGGACACCTCCGAGAAGGGACCAGGATAGAGGAGCACCCCAAACACCCATCCCTCCCAAGCCCTGCTCTCAGCCAGCCTCACCTGACATATTGGTGTCCCCAGGACGCCAGCTCCTCCTGGGAGCCCAGCAGCCGGTACTTCAGACACTCGCGCTCCCCGCTCATGGTCATGGCCAGAACGGAGATGATGTCTGCTGCGAAGCGCTGCGGGGAGAGCAGCGCATGTTCACACACAGCCCGGGCAAGGGGCAGCCCGCGCCAGCCAGGAGGGCCCTCCCTGCACCCACAAGTAGTCACGGAGGGAGCAGGCACAGCCCTGGCAAGTTAGAGAGGGTGACGTTACCCCTGGCAGCCTGGCACGGCTCTGCGGTCACCTGCCCCTGTGCTGTCCTGCATTTACCTTGTTCTCCCCGGGAGCCATGTTTTCATAGATCTCCTTCAGCTTGCCGTAATGCGGCCGCAGGAATTTGAGGGGTTTGGGAACAGAGGTCATGGAGGTCGTGGAAGAACGGATTTGCCTCCGCAGCTCTTCCAGGGCAGGGCGATAGAGGGACGTATCCTTCTCCTGCAGAGGAAGATTGCCTGTCAGGTGGGTTCCTGGGTCACCCTCCCCAAAAGCAGCATCCAGACCCAAACGAAGGGCCCTCCTGCCCCACAGCCATGCAGCTGGCCCCCCACCAAGGCAGCCAGGCTGCAGCAGTGCCACCAGGCACATTCCCATGCTCTGGAAGAGCCGAGGCACGCACTGGGGAAGGAAACTGCCTTCCCACAGCTCTGGGCCATGGCTGGGTTGCGTGAACCTACCCCCAAGCGCTCCACCAGCATCTCCAGCTCATCCTGCAGCTGCTTGTCTTCCTCGGACTGCACCGGGACACAGGAGAAGGCAGAGTTAGGGCTGCCCCGCATGGACACCCCCGCTCCGGAGCGCTCCCCAGGGCGGCAGCTCATCCCTAGGAAACCCCCGCGCTTCCCAAGTTTGGGTTTGGGTGTCCCCATGGCTGTGCCTCCCACCCGGGAGGGGTCGCTGGCGTCCCTTGGGGGAGGAGAGGTGACACAGCACAGGTCCCGTTGCTGCCGGCAGGGATCCCGATGTCACCCGCACACCCTCGTTACGTCACCCACCGCTGATGTCACACCTGGGGTTCCCCCTCCAGGGGAGCCCCTTGGCACTTGCTGTCACATGCACCCTCTGATGACATCACAGGTCCCCAACTGGCAGTATGGCCTGTCCCCGATGACGTCACACCCCATGAGCCCCCAGCAGCACCCGCGTCACGCAGGGACCCCTCAGCGTCATCACCCGGGCACCCCATGACGTCACGCCCCCCTCCCGAAAGAACGTCCCTACCCTGCTGA